GGTAAGGGGCAGGCAGGGGATGTTTGATCTGGGTCTGATCGGACCTAGAGAACACAAGATGCTGCCCTGAAGAGGGTCAGGGGAGGACCAGCTGGCACTGCTGGGGCCTGGGGGTGGCCTGTGCAGAGCTGGGGTCAGAGGATGATGGCTGAGGCTGGGTTGATAGAGGACAATGGGAACTGTGCAGACAGGAGGAGGCCTGGACTGGATGACTTGGCAACTCCAAGCAGTGACCAGTGCCAGAGATTAGAAAGGGTCTTCCTGGACATGAACAGTGGGGTGGAGGAGTCCATGAGGGCAATGGGGGTAGGGTCAGAGATCCCCCAGCACGTGTGCAGGACCAGAGGTCAGGCACCACACACAGGATGGGGCCGACTACCCACACCTGTGACAGATACACAAACATCCTCTGCGGATTTGCAAGGTGCCTCCATGCCTCCATACTCTACCAATGACCCCTTCACCTTGGTCTTGGGCATGCAGAATGACTTTGGACAAAAAGAACTTCTCTACCCACTCTTCCTGCGTAGAGTGGTCCAAGTCTGTAGTGGCCTACATCAAGTAGTGTCTGTAAACAGAGAAAATCTTCCTTTCCTTGAATGGCTATAGCATATGTTAAAGAATTGAAAAAAACAGTTTGATTATTTCCTTGTAAAAGTCTTTCCAGAGTAGAATGAGACAGACTGTGTAATATAGGGAAACATTCTTTGTGAAGAAGAACATCTGGAAACATCTGAAAGCACGCAGACATGGAGTGTGTTAGCCTGCAAGTGTGTGTGTGCAGACACACATGCGTGGGGCACGGGAGCATGTTGGGGTTCCCTGTGGGTCCTGACCTGCCTGGGTTGGGGGTCAACAGGAGAAACAATGCTGGGGAAAATTAATGAGATTCTACACCAACTTAATATATAAAGTCTGGGGAGCCTGGAGAGGTGTACATTGGCTCATATGCTGGGCAGCAGATTGAGACAATGTAGTAACTCTCTGATCTCTCAGAAACCTTTTATTGATCACTAACACAAAGCTAGCTTGTTTGGCTTGGAGATGAAACTTGTTTTCCCTTCCCCCTTTCTAGTACAGTTATCAGCCGGTTGTTGACAACTCACTACCCTCTACCTGCTGATTCTCTGCTTCATCTTCCGGGGGTTCTTGATGAGCCCCCAGCTATGGCCCACCTGGGAGCTTTGCCCTCAGTGGTTGAGGTGAGGCACCCTGCAGAGAGATCAGCCTATCTGCCTCCCACAGGGGCACTGGCCACGGGCCCCTTGTGGGGGGCTGAGGGCAGTCATAGTTCTCTGTGTGTGCTCTTCCTCACGGGGCCCGGCACACGGAGATGCTCTCAGCCTCATGCTCATGCATTCACACTCACATGTGCTCACAGTCATACTTGAATACTCACACACACTCATGAACTCACACTCACATGCTCTTACACTGTTCCTTTTGTACACACACAAAGGCCCAGGAGGCTATAGCACCAGCAGGAAAACAGCCACCCTATGAGACGCAGAGGGGAGCAAGCCCAGCACAGAGTAAGGTCTGGACTCGGAAGGTAGGAAGGAGACAGCTGTACAGGCCTGCAGCTCTGAAGGCTGGCATGGGGGACTAGCCTGTGTGGCTGTCTCTTCTTTGTAGAGTTTATTGTCCCTCATTTTGGGGGGCAGTGCTAATGCCCGAAGTTTGAGGAGGGCAAAGGAGGAGCCATTCACAGCCTGGGAGAGGCCCGAGGGGCAGTGGTGCCTGCAGCATAGGCCAGCATAGAGCATGAGGGACTCTGTACCTATCACCTTAGAAATGATGATGCTGCCTGGGGACGAGGCAGGCAGAGGGCCACTCTGTATACCTGCCCAGGACTCTCCAGCTGGAGCCATGGACGCAAGCCACTGCTGAAGGCAGAGGAATGGCCTGGACATAGACACCTGCAAGGTCAGCACAGAGGTGCATTGTCAGCCGGGGGTGAGGACAAGAGGGGGAAGCAGCTCAAATCCAACAAAGGTGACCCCAATGAGTCATGCTCTGTATAACCTGCTCCCCTTGGGTGCAGGCAGAGCCCATGACCTAATTCTAACCAATAGGGTGTTAGAATAGGCAATGATGGGATATCACTCCCACGATAAGTGACATCATTTGACCTCATCAGACAAGCCCTTTAACAGTGAACCTAGGGTTTCCTTGACATGGAAACTCACACAGAAGAGACTCTTTCGCCTCCTGTGGGCTCAGAAGAAGCAGGACAGCTCATGGAGATGAGTTCTGCCAACCCTGAGAGGGCACAGAATCAGATCTGTCCCAGCCAAGCCTCTAGATGAGCACACAGCCCAGCCTAGATGTTGGCTTTGAGACCTCACGCAGAGGACCTTGTTAAGCCACATCCAGACTCCTAACCCACAGAGAATGGGTGCTGTTTCATGTTAAAAAAAAAAAAAAGAGAGAGAGAGAGAGAGAAAATAAAAGATGTTTATTTATGTAAGATCTGAGTCTTTAATATACCAGTGTGCCAGGGATCCAGTTTCCAGGGTTTTCTTAACTTATTTGACCTGGCATCCTATTTCCTACAGGGAATGCAGGCTATTTTCCAGCCACCCAGCCTCTATTTTTCCTTCTTAAGTCTGGTAGGGCTGTGATCGTGGGTCCTGCTCTACCCCAGCTGAAGGACTGACTAATGATCCAAGTTAGGACAATTGGAATTGGAAATGCAACGAGCAAAAAACTGAAGTTCACCCTTTCCAGCAGTGGGGTCTACCCATTCCTGCCCTGACATTATCCTGTTGTCACTGCTTCTGTGTTTTCTGGAGTTGCTGCAACTTGGTCTAGGTTGCTGCAACTCGGATCTGCTCCCTAGCCTGGTTATCTAGGTAGGCTTTCCATAAATTCTCATTGTTCCTGATATTCTTTTTGCAGAGTAGTTTTCTGTTGCTTGCAACCAAAGGACTCACTTTTTTTTTTTTTTTTTGGTCTCAGCTTATCTTTCTTAACATCACTAGCCTGAAACAGGGACAATGTCTGTTGTATTGACAACTAAAAAACCTTCAATGATTATATTATCTCACACATTCTAAGAGCTCAAAAAAAATTGTTGAACAAATTATTAGTATCCTAAAGAAGAGCTTTTGAGAAGTACTGGTTTAAGGCTAAGCTGTTTTTTTTTCCTTTTGATAAAGAGAAGTATCATATAAAATGGTACCCAAGAGAGAAACAGTGCCCCAAGTCTATTTGCTCCTCTAGGGACAAAGTAATCTGGAAAATACGTTTGTGCTGAGTTTTAGCAGCTATCAAACAAACTATTGAGTCTTTTAAGTAAAGATTTAAAAAAACCTTCTAAACTTTGAATCCATACTTAAGGAGTCATTTAGGGAAAAAAATCTCTCCACCTCTGAATTAGATATTTTAACAGGCATTTAATATACATTTTGTTATTCAATCTTCAATATCTATGCGTCAGTGAATAATATATATTGAGTCCCTACTATGTGCTGGGACCATGGGCTACAATGAAGAGTAAGATACACTTGGGCAGTAAGAGACCCTTCAATAGATGCACATGTGGTGAGCTGGTGACATAAATATGTATTGCCATTTATATGCAGTTATATTCTTTGCTGTGCTTAATTATATTTAATAGTGTTTTTATTCTACATAAATAATCCCGTCAATATAGATAGCTTTTAGTTTTCTTCACTGACACCAGACTCTGTCAATATTTTGGGTTCAAACATGATTTCACACTGATTTTCTGGAATAAAACAGTACCCAATAAAAATAACAAGTTGTACACGAAAAATCCTAAAGAACAACACTGTACCTGAGGTTTCAGTCAGGTGTTTGTTACTTTTCCTCTGGCATCTATCCCAGCGTCTGGACTGCTAGATGAGTAAGTAGGTACCCACAAAGTCCAAATACCAAAACCACGGGAATGAAGCCCTGGGAGCAAGATAGGCCCATCAGGAAGCAAACTTTTGTTTGAAAGTCGAGAACAATTGCTAAACTATTGATTTAAGATGAATGAGAATGTTAAAGATACCTAGAAAGAGATCAGGACACTGATCCTAAGCCCAAGGGTGTGGAACATAAACCTGGAAGAGACTTAACTGCAAGGATTTAACATTCTGTGAAATTTCATCTTTTCAGTTTAAACCCTGAACGTCTACAAAACAGTTTACTTCAATTTAGAGTTACATTCTCCTGCTCCTGATGTCTCAAATCCCCATCTGACCAAGGATTTCAATTCAAAGGTGGAATTACTAAAATTATCGACTTTGCTTAAGTGTTAGTTTCTCAGCACGTTTACATCAGAGTGACATGAATGACCCATAAGTGGCACAAGAGTGTGCCAAACCCTGGAATTTAATGTGGTGTTCTGGGTTGTTTGTGGTTTTAATGCTTAATTAGTTGTTACCAAATACCCTTCCTCAGGTTTCAGTCAGGTGTTTGCGGCTTCCGTCCACCTGGGGTGGGGGTGGCGGATAAGCCGCGGGGAGGGTGTCTCCCCTTGCCCCCCCGCCCATCATTTCATAAGTTACTTTGAATCCGTTCTCGACAGTACCATAAAGTACATTGTCCTGAGGAGGGTCAATGTAGAGCTGCTATGAATAGACGCAACTTGAACTTCACCAAGTTCGCAGGGCCAGTACTCCGCTACACACCAAATTAGGGTCACGGCATCTATTCGCGCAGGTAGTTCACCATCCCAGGGAAAAGAGTCGGGGGCCGATCAGGCCGGTTCCAGGGTCTCGGTGGTCCCAGCCGAGGCTACAGAAAATGCTGGTAACCCAGGAGTGCGCCGCACTAGTGCGGAGAAGCAACG